TTTAAATGAAAACTTACTTTGTAATATGACTTAAGGTGCAACATCAGCTCATCAAGTGTTGCACGATTATCCATTCTGTAGGCAATGATTTTGTTTCGATTCAATTTCTGCCAGTCGTCGTCCATCTCATCACCCTCTGTCTTGGTGTCAGTCAAACTGCTGCTGTAGGTACTGTCCTGGGAGTAAACAAGCATCTCCATCTTGAACTGGACTCTTAGCAGGGACTCCGCAATGGACTCTTTATCTTGCTTAATGGCTTCAATGTTTGCCTAGAAAATAAAATTCTGGTCAATGTGAGCATTGCAATGATGCAAATTAAATTTTGACAGCCAAAATACTGACAAAAACATAAGAAATTATAAAAAATATCAACATGAAACTCATAAAAGACCTTGGCTGCTTTCACGAGGTTAGGAAATCCAGTGAAGCTAATGTGGGCCAGCTGTATGAACACCTTCTTGACAGCATCTGGTGGAAATGAATGTACAAGAACATACAATACATCATCTAGATTTCCACTGTGCACTTCAGTTGTAGTTGTATGGTAACACAAATCTATCATATATCCAGCGATATACCTCCTATATCCTTGAGTTTCTTGACAGCTGGCTCTTCCAGCTTTTTGATCTGCTCCTTGACCATGATCTCAAAGGTCTTGTAGTTGATGAAGCCTGGTAGTTCTCTTCCACGGTACATCTCCTCATGTTTCTCTACCTGCTTATCAATTCTTCTGTTAACTGAAACACAAATATATATTTCAGAACAGCTAATGAACAGCTGCACACCAGACAAAAGTTATACACTCACAGTTTTCTCCTGAGTTATACAGATGGAGGTTCCAGTTCCCAAACTCTTTTCGGAGCATAGAAAAGACATTAAGCTTTTCTCCACACTTGAGTTCCTCTCCTTTAGTCACACTGATTGCATCCTGAGTGAATGCTGTCACTTTCTGGAGCATGCATAAGACAGCAGAGACAGTTGGTTAGAGGTGTTTAACAAATATTCAAATTGGTGACCAGATTTCTGCAGTGTCTTATGTAGGATGAGGGCGCTCACTTCAGTGAGGAAGGCAAATCTCTCAGCTGCATCAGCTGGGGGCCCAGTGCCATATCTCTCCAGCTCTACCTGAGTCTGGGCTAGTTTCTCCTCTATCTGCTCTTCCAGTCGAGGCAGAGATTTCTGCAAATTACACAGGAGGGGTCAAATCTCTGATACATAGGGTGACTAATCATAACTGTTGTTAATGTGAAACAATAATCAAAAAAATACCTCAATGTGATGCACCAGCTCAAGTGTAAGTTTCTCAGCCAGTTTGGGCACAGTGGCATGGCCATCACTGTAGAGAGTGCTACAGCAAGAATAAAAGGCTGCTGAGTATGTGTTACACAACATCTCACACACTGTACTATAAACGGTACATAGTTTTAATGAATTCATAAAAGAATGAACTTACTGGAAATGCATATGCTCTTTGAAGAAGGCCTTCTCTCTTTCTATTGCTTCAGTGAGAGACACCTTCTCTCTGATCTCCTGTTGACCCCTGCACCTGACGATCATGTAGCCCTTTTTCAGGGGGATGATATCATTACATACAACGTGAACCACGGTCTCTTCTGTGCCTTTGTCCACCAGGTCAGGCTTAGTCAAGATACCTGAAAGACAGAGAGTAAACCAACTAAATGTTGAATAACTTATTCAAAAGCTGGGTGACCCATTTTCAAGAATCAAGTCTATGTACCTAAAGTCCTCTCCCCATCAGGATCCACCTCCTGTGCCATCTTCAAAGCCTCTGTGGTTGCTATATCCACATTACTTGGCACAACCACCAGGCTGATTGTTTCTTGTCTTCTGATGAACTTCTGGATTAGTCTCTTTATCTGAAAGTATCAATTCATCAAGTTATAAACTATCAATCACTATTGTGCTTCAATGTGAGACTCTGCAACTTTTAAATGTACAAAAAGTGAATTGTATCTTAGAAAAAAATTATATTTCCAAAAACAAAAAAATTATGTACCAAACTCATTGTAATATCTCCTCTTGTATGTACTACAGCCTTAGCAATACTGTCACTTATATAATGTATCAACTGTAACTCTACATAGGAGGAAGAGGGCCAAGAGCTGAACTTGATTCAAATGCACTTTATGCCAAAACGTTTTAGCATTTGATAGCCACAAGCTAGGC